GGGAGTCTGCTTCTCCCTCTCACCCTCCCCCCTTTCATGTGCTCTCTCTCATTCTCTCTCTCTCAAATAAATAAATAAAATCTTTAAAAAAAAAAAAAAGAAATGCTGGAGGGGGAGGCCATCACCCAGAAGTCCCCAAGCTCCCTAGGGGACTCTGATGCATACTGAAGTTTGAGAACCACTACTGTGGAGTACATAGTCAAAATACTCTTTTCTGGGGGCACCTGGATGGCTCAGTCATTAAGCATCTGCCTTCAGCTCAGGTCATGATCTCAGGGTCCTGGGATCGAACCCCGCATCGGGCTCCCTGCTCCGCGGGGAGCCTGCTTCTCCCTCTCCCACTCCCCCTGCTTGTGTTCCTGCCCTCGCTGTGTCTCTGTCAAATAAATAAATAAAATCTTTTAAAAAATACTCTTTTCCAAAGTTAGTGCATTAGTCTGCTCGGGCCGACAAAACTAAATACCACAGATGGGTTGACTTAAACAGTAGAAATGTATTTCTCCCATCTTAGGGATGTGAGAAGTTCTTCACGCCAAAAGTCCAAGATTAAAGTGCCAGCAAGGCAGGGGCACCTGGGTGGCTCAGTCGGTGAAGTACCTGTCTTCAGCTCAGGTCGTGATCCCGGGGTCCTGGGATCGAGCCCCATGTGGGGTTCCCTGCTCAGCAGGGAGCCTGCTTCTCCTTCTCCCTCTGCCCCTCCCCCCCAACTCATGTTCTCTCTCGCTCACTCTGCTCTCTCTCTCTCGCAAATAAATAAAAAATCTTTAAAAAAAAGTAAATTCAGAAAAGTTCTCATCCCTTCTACCTCATTCGCAGTCCTTTCAACCCTGTTCCCATCCACCCCTGTAAATTACTAATCCCATTAGTTTTTGGTTTCTCTTTCCACACAAGGAGCATTGGTTTTCCGTGGCTCCTGTAACAAATTACCACAAATTTAGTGGCTCAAAATGCCACGAATGTAAGATATTACAGTTTTGAAGGTCAGGAGTCCAAACTGAGATTCATAAGGCTAAACGTCCAGGCGTCGGCAGGGCTGTGTTCTTTCTGGGGGCTTTAAGGAAGAAGCTGTTTCCCTGTCTCTCCAGCCTCTACATGCGGCCTGCACTCCTGGGCTACGGCCCTTCTTCTATCGTCAAATCGCTCTGACTGGGAGCCCTGCCTCCACGAGCACATCTCCTCCCTCTGACTCTGCCCCTTCTGCCTTCCTCTTACAAGGACCCTTGTCATCCGCTTGGACCCACCAGGGTAATCTCCTCAGATTTCCATCCCTAATCACATATGCAAAGTCCCTTCTGTCATATAAAGCCACATAGTCACAGTTCTGGGGATTAGTGTGTGAACATCTCTGGGGGAGGGGGGCGTCATTCTCCCACACAGATATTTTTTAAGTTTTTAAAAACACAGAGTGACAGATCTTAGTATTCTCCTTCTTACAATCATTAAACAGCTTCCCTCTCTTCCTAGAAGGAGCCCAACCGCTTCACCCTGCCAGCCTCCTTCGCCTCCTTCCATGTCCTTGACTGTGCCAAATCCTTGATGGCTTTCAGCCTTTGCACGTACTCTTCCTCTGCCTCGAATATTCTTTCCCCAGCTCCTCTCATGGTTGGCTCATTCTTCCAGTCTCATCTCAAATGTCACCTCTTTAGAGAAGCTATCCCTGATTACCAGACAGGTAACAGCCCATCTCAATGACTGCAATTTAGCCTATTTATTTTCTTTATCATTGATCGTGGTCTGTAATATATTATGTATCAGTTTGTTTATGGACCCATCTTTCTCACTAGAATGTAATCTCCGTGAGGGTGGAGACCATGTATATTCCTGTACATCCCTAATACCTAGCATAGTCTTGATACCGTGTGTATTCCTGTCTATCCCTAATATCTAGACACTCAGTAAGTGTTGACAGGATAGATGAATGCTGCTTCAGTCTGGGCGGCCAACGGAGGATGAGTGTGTTGCGGATTGAAATAGAGTAAACAGAAGAATCCCTGTGACTGTAGGTACTGCTGATGCAGACTTTCACAATCCCCAGTACAGCCTGAACAGCTTCCTATATGTCATTCATTCCTTCATTCATCCACAAGTATTCACTGAGTAGCTAATATACACACATTTAATCCACACAACAATACCATAAGGGAGCTACTATTACTACTATCCCCCTTTTACCGACAAGAAGACTGAGGTTCAGAGAAGTAGCATGGCCAAGGACACGCAGCTAGGAAGCTACTATATGCTAGTATATGTTAGGCTTAACGCTAGGCTCAGGGGCTATACCAGGGAACGAGGGAACATGGTCGTTGCCCTCTCTGGTGGACAGTCCGAGGATGAATCCATGCTTACAGGGTGCTGTGCTAAGTGTTATGATAGGGCTCTGCTAAGGGGGCCATGGGAGCACTGGCCTGGGACAGTGAAATCAGGGTGAGGAGTGAGAGGAGGCTTCTGGGAAGAGGAGGCGCTTGAACTGAATTTGAAGCCTAAGTAGATCTTAGCTAGAGGAATGGAAGACCAACTAGCCAGCTACTGATCAGGCTCACGGGCTATCATTTGCCTTGATGAAGTTTCTGGTTTTCTACGGTCTGGCCTTCACGGCCACTTTGCAGGGTAAGAAATCCAATACTATGAGTAGCCGAGAGTTATCTGACATCGGGAATACTGGCACATGCTAATAACGCTCAGGAGAGAATGAAGTTTATCAATCAGAGTTCGTTCGCTAAACTGGGAAGTGGCCATTCTCTCCAAAGGAGTGCCTCCTGGGGCAGTTTCCTGGGGAGCCGAGACCCGGGGTCCCCACGCTTTCTCTTTAAAGGGCCAGATGGTAAACATTTTTAGTTTTGTGGGTCATATACGGTCTCTGCGCCACTACCCCACCTTTCCACTGCAGGGCAAAAGCAGGGACAGGTAACTCATAAACAAGTAAGCGTGGCTGTGTTCCAACAAGACTTTATTTACAAAAATAGGAGGCAGGGTTTACGGAGCCCGGGCCTAGAATAAGAGAAGTAGTTATAAGATTCAAATGCTTCAGCACATCCACGTGTCCGCTGATGCAACAGAGCTAAACCCGCCTCCGGCATCAGACTGGGCATGTTCTCTCCTAGACAGTGCCCAGACCGACACCGCCAACATTGGCCTCTCTGGACCTTTTTTAATGCTCAGCCGCCCTACGAAATCCCACCCTTTCCTAAAGCGTTGGGTATATGAAGGCTCCACTCACCAGTAAAGCTCCAAGGAAAATGCCAGCAGCATCAGTTCCCAGCGACTTCACAGAGAAAGCCCTGCTCCTTTGTTACCTGCAGGGGGAAAGAGTAGTCTCCGTTCTTACAGATGTTTCCTGCAAAAAAAGTGGCAGATTCGGCAACACTAACACTTAAAAGAGACCCACGAAGGGAGAGATTGTTCTTTTAAATTAGAATTTTTTATTTTTATAAAAGCAGTGTGGGTTCCCTGTAGAAAATTAGAAAACAAAAATAAGGGATAAGTAA